ATTTGATGACTGTGACAACCTTGTTGCATCAATATCGGAATCGCTTGCGAATGTGGATAAACAAAGGATATCACGAAAATTACCAATATTCTTACAATTTGTACCACTGGATCCCCAGAGGGTGATTAACCTAGAGTATTTTTCACTTTCCCAATTTTTTTTTTGAATAATTTTTTGGTATTGTAAATGATGAGAAACGAAAGCAGAATGAGCAGTTCATGGAAAATGCGCGATAGAAAAAAGTAGATCAGCATCAAGAAAAAAGTATGGAACACAGCATTTTGGAAAATCCAAACAAGAGGGTGCTCTGGATCCAGCATTACACGGTATATCTCTTGTTGAATAACTCAGAAATGATTGTTGCACGCATTTCGATAATCCTAGCGTTACCGAGGCAACCCAGACACTAAACTACGGTTTACATAATTCAAACACTCATTCAGCAAGCTAACGAACAAAAAACAGATAAGCAGGCTTGCCTGATTGGTGATGAAGCATTTGCAACTGAGTTGTCCACCTAGACGCGATCCAGATATTTAGAAAAAACACAAGTGATTTGACTTTTCCAGTTCTTGCCCTCATTTACGCACGGTTAGGTAGTGTTGCTGCTTTCTTGTCAGTCATCTCTCTTCGTTTTGAAACACGCACACGAGTGTGTCCGGACTCTTGGTTCCACTAAGCTTCAGACTGCATCGCTTTCACGCGACTACAATGCCAACGCAGACGTCATTCTAACTGAGATTTGTGCGGTTTACGGTCGAGCGGGTTGACTTGCGGAACATTCTGTTCAATTATTCATTTATGTACTCAATTATGACATTTTTGACTGCGCATTCAATGGGGAAGTATATTTTGTGGAATTGAATGCGGGTAGCAAGCAAGGTACTCTTTATAGTCTCTGTCTGCACCTCATTATTACTGGGCATTTGAGAACTAAAGAGCGTGCCAGGATTGTGAAATATATCAGTTAAGCAAACATGCGAAATGTACCTCTGTATATTGTTATCCCTTCTTATCGACGAGTGGCATCAGTCTCAACTTAAATCAGAATTGGGAAAGGACTTGTTTATTTTAATCGGTAACTATTTCCTTTAATTGTAAAAGTTGTTGTCAAACGGACGATCAGGTAAAGGGATCAATTTTTAGTCTGACAGTTATGGCGTGAAATGAGCTCCAAACTCTCTATCATGATTGGAGGTGAGCATTTTGGTAAACAGATTCGATTTTCCCGGGTTTCTCTATAAGTGGGTCTTAAACATCTGTGTTTGCCGTAGCTGCTGGAGAGGTTCTGCTCATCGATTTTTGGTGATAAAAACGATTTAGTTGATTGAAGTCAGGAGGTAAAATATCAAAATAATGAGCCACTGGCGACAAGCCCTGTCTCTCAATCAATTAGGGTTAAGGAAAAGGCGGACCGTAGCCGGGTCGAGCAATAGGATTTATTGGGAACCCTGGAGGTATGATTTCAGTCCGTAGGATGGACGATACAAATGACACGGTATCGGTAACTAGTGAATTACGGACTTGAAAAGAAACATCCCACTGCCTCCTATTTGAACTTCAGGCTGAAAGCTCTCAAAACCACGTGGAACTATGTATGAATGGAACGAACGACAACAGCCCACCACACTGGCACAATTGAATCAAGCACTCCTTGTGATGTCCCTGTAAATTTTTTTTGGATGGTTTTGGTACCTTCTGGGCTGTTAATAAATAAAGAGATCTAATGTAGAAGAAGAGGCAAAACACATATAACTTAAGTAGAAGTTTGCATAGCTTGTACGCTAAACCCGAACTGATGATCAAAAACAGACCGTTGGTATCGGTGACGCTCGAGTAGCGAAAAAGACAAAGACTGACTTGCACAACGGCATGAGAAGGTATTGGCCTAATGGTTTGGAAGCTGCCGGGGCATGCCTTGCACCCTGTGGTCCAAGGTTCGAGCCCCGCCAACGCCACCCTAACTTTGGGGGTAGGCAGCTTGGCTTTCGTCCGGTTCAATTCTACGCCTAACCTACCGGGGTCTTATGTGGTTCGCCACTCCTGTTACCATCGTTGAACAGCAGGTCTTCATGACTACGGGTTTCTCCCAGTCTGCTATTCATCACACAGTAGTGCGTTATGAAAAGTTGCCTAGAAGGTGAATGGAACAAATGGAACATTATCTCTGTTTTCTGATGTGCATATATGCAAAATATATTTTATGGTCATTTTATCTTGTACAGAGCAAACAAAGCGCAAACTAAAAAGATGGAAATCCCTGTTTCGGCTTGACCAGGTAGTGCAAATTCATCGACCTAACTGAGAATAGAACTTTTGACGTATGATGACAGTATACCCTCTCTTGACCGAAGGGTTGCTGATCAGACTCTTATTTGTTTATCCTACATTTGGCATTGAGCAACCCGTTTCTGTGAAATTAATGCGGGCCTCGTGTATTCAGGGTCATGACTCTGTTGGAAACGTTCCGAACCTGCCTAATTGTTGCACGAGGGTAATGGAAGATTTACTGTAAGTATTGGGTGAATTTTTTCTGTAACATATACGTCACCATCACTATCTTCATTGATATATATGAGAATTGGAACCTGTCCCATTCCTTCCATAATAACTGCAACGATGAAGTTAAACATCATTATCGACAACCCTGATATTGATTTTGAACAGGTAGTATATTATATATCGCCAGTTCATTCGATGGATCATCTGAAATATATAATATTACAAGGAGGTGTTACTCATCTCTAAGTAACCTCTTGCCGGGAAGCAAATTTTTCAATCAAGGAAACCGATTTATTAATTTGACCAACTAACCCGTTTGATAACAACCATGGAAATTAAGAACAAAACTGGCGCTCATCCCGGATTTTGACGAAGAGTAGAGGAAAAAGTATTTTAACATGCGACACTCTTCCACGGTTGAGAGATTTGAACGATTTCATCTATATTCAAGCAATTAATCACTGCTTACTAAGGTCGGGGTAATCCTAACGACAATCACATATGAACGCTATATCCGGTAGTGTTGGCGAGTATCCAGCTGCTGACAGCCATCGAGGATATTCCATGGAGTTAGCTCGTCGAATCAAGTACCAGTTTGTGTCTGAATTTAAGTGAATTTGGTAGACATGACCTGATTATAATTCATACAACGTTAGATGAAACAGCTGTATAATGCCTTCAACGC